TTAATGATGGAACGCCCGGGTATTCGTATTGTTCGCATTCATACGCCCTACTGGGCAGCTACCACGTATCTCGAATAGGATTCGTGAGCGGATAGGGGTTTTTTCGGGGTGGTGTCCTCGCGGTGACCGGAAGGGGAAGGGATTTCGGAGGAAGGGGGGGGGTAAATGAAAAATGATGAAGTCGCCTCCGGTAACTGGATCACCTGAGACGAGGCGGGGCCAGGGGTGACATCTCAACGGTGACGAGAAGGATTAATTTACCACGAAACAAATCGGTACTTGAGGTACACGCACGGGTGCGCTTCGCAAACTGCGGGGTTCTCAAAGTGGCCCTGCGCGGAGGACAAAAAAGTAACCGCTCGGTCGCAAGGATCACGTTTGCTACGTATCAAGGGCGAAGGGCATGGTTGCCACAGTCAGGGGAGACCTGGAAATATCAGGGGAAATGGCGAACATGTCAAGGATAATGGCGCAAATGTCAGGGAAAATTATCAAGTAGTCTTTATTTGCTTCCCAGGATGAGTTGAACGTTTCGAACAACAAATTTTGTCCGAACATTCCTTCTAATCGTGCATTTTTAACCAACCTGCATATTTTCATCAGTCGGAGAATGAAATGGCGAACATGTCAAGGATAATGGCGCAAATGTCAGGAAAAATTATTAAGTAGTCTTCGTTTCCTTTCCAGGATGAGGTGAACGTTTCGAATTCGAAAATTTCGAAATTTTGTCTAAAAATTCTTTCTAATCATGAATTTTCAACCAACTGACATATCTTCAATTGTCGGAGAATTCCACCGAAATATGTCAGGGAATTTCATTCTCTAGATTCGGCGGCAACCTTGGAAGGGAAAGTACATGCTTTACATGGCGAGCATGTCAGGGAAAATTATTAAGTAGTCTTTATTTGCTTTCCAGGATGAGTTCAACGTTTCGAACAACAAATTTTGTCCAAAAATTACTTCTAATCTGTATTTTTATCCAACCGGCATACTTTCAACTGTCGGAGGATTCCACCGAAATATGTGAGGGAATTTCATTTTCTAGATTCGGTGGCAACCTTTGAAGGTAAAATTCTGGCGATAATGCCAAGTAAGAGCATTCGACTCTAATGAACAAATGGTCCTCTGTGTGAGGACCTTCAAGATAAATGAGGACGAATGGATCGCGCATAGCAGTAAAGGAACCGAGCCACGTCAGCTATTGCCAAAAACCGGGAAGTTCAATTTTTTACAAGAAAACGTGTGTGCCGATTTTTTTTTGAAAATTTTAAGGAATTTGCTTTGTTCGAAGCAGAAAAGTCACCGAAATTTTCTCCAAAATCCAGTCAGCTATTTATCGATCCTTTTCTATAGGTTTAAATGGCAGATCAATCGATATATCGCCATTCTCGTCACGCCACTGCCGAACAGATGTTCGCGAACGCCCATCCCAGTCGGAATTCACGCGAATACGTCAGAAATCCGTCCTTGAGTATGAATTATACACCCTCATTCGCGTGGAAGACATGCACGTGTGAGAGTGTATTTACAAATATATGCACAAGCGATGTTTCAATAGTGTGTTGGAAGATAAATCAATTTTCGTCATAGCAAAGAGCAGGAAAGGCGTTTATTGACAAATGAGACGACGCTGAGAATGAAACAAATCGCAGGCGAGAGGTTGGCCATCAGTCGAACTGGGAATACGGATTTCGGTGGGGGGTTCTCCCTTGCGTTGTTGTCAGCACTTTGCATTTTGACCGCACTGGGATGGAAACACATTGGATCTAGAGTGCAGACTCTTAAAAACATCGACAAGAAAAGTACGCTTGATTCAATCAGAATCTAGCTTAAATCAAGAACCAAGCCTCTTAATTTAAGCGGATTTCGTTTTGATTCAAGCAAATATCCAATTGAATCAAGAGTATTTTTTCTTGTCAATGTTTCCAAGAGTCTGGACTCTAAATCCAATGTTTTTTCTCCAGTGCGGTGGGGTTTCAGACTCAAATTTTTGTGTGTTGTTCATACTTAATTTATTTTGGCTGGTTATTAGTCTCATATATTCTGTAATCCGTAAGCCAAAAAGTTTATTTATTGTCCTCAGACATCAGGACGACAGGCTCATCCATGCTCAAGGCCTTTCACATTTTCACGGATTCAAGCCAAGGTAGATTCTGTTTCAAAAGACCCACTCACCTATCAGTTCCTGAAAATTTGTCGCCATTATTGGGATTCGAAACCAGGACCTACCGACCCAGAAGCAGACGTGCCGACCACTGGGCCAACCTGGATGGCATTTACTGTATTTTAGCACCACTGGTTCCAGGATTCTCTGGAAATAGAGGAAAACCGCCTTCAATTGGTTAGTACCACTGGTTCCAGGAATCTCTGGAAAGGGAGGAAAACTGCCTTCAATTGAGGCGTTCTGCCTTTCTTCATCATTTATTTTTTTTGCCTCTAGTCTTTTACCTTTCAGTACCTATCTTAGTGACTATCGTATATTTCGGTCATCTCCGATCACTGGGTATTTTTTTATGCGTAATTCGTAATGTACCGATTTATAAATTTGCCGATCGATGTATCGGGTTGTCGACTAATCAACTCCCAGGTTTTCCGATCGATTCACGGGTTTGTCGATCGGTTCACGTGTTTACTTTTCGATCGATTGATTCGTGTCAATAGATTCGTTTTTTCGTAATCGGCCAGTTGCGCTGGTAACAGAATCGTGTTTTGATGTTTTTCCCTGTGGATTAGCTCAAAATAATAAGATTTGTCCAAACGGTAACTTTTTACGGTGAATATTTTTCGAGATATCGTCCTTTGAAAAGTCGGGTTTTTGACGTCATCCACCGCGGTAGTCCGTAACATGGTAAGTACTACTGTAACGTCATGAGTCGAGTTTTTCCAGGCGATATATATCGGTTAATATTCAACGTAGCAAGTTGCTGTTTGGACGGATTTTATTATTTTTAGTTGATCGGCAAGAATAAAACACCAAAACACGATTTTGTGACCAGCGCAAGTGACCCATTCGTCGATCGAGTCCGTGCCGATTGGTTTACGCACTGGAAAAAAATCACATTGGATCTAGAGCCCAGACTCTTGAAAACATCGACAAGAAAAAAAACTCTTGATTCAATCGGATTTTTGCTTAAATCAAGAACCCAGCCTCTTAATTTGAGCGGATTTCCTTTTGATCTAAACAAAAATCTGATTGAATCAATAGAGTTTTTTCTTGTCAATGTTTTCAAGAGTCTGGACTCTATTCCAATGTGTTTTTTTTTCCAGTGCGTCGATGGATTCACGTTTTTTGCTCTCGATCGATTCATATATATGTCGATCGAATCCATACCCCTCACTGGAAAAATAAACACATTGGATCTAGAGTCCAGACTCTTGAAAACATTGTCAAGAAAAAATACTCTTGATTCAATCAGATTTAAGCTTAAATCAAGAACTAAGCCTCTTAATTCGAGCGGATTTCCTTTTGACCTAAGCAAAAATCGATTGAATCAAGAGTGTTTTTTCTTGTCAATGTTTTCAAGGGTCAGCTGGACTCCAGATCCAATGCGTTTTTTTTTTTCCAGGGCTCATATTTACAGTGTTCCGACCGGCAACTTTCGGTGGCGATGAGAGCCCGCGCCACAAGCGAGATATGGTCGATGCCGGAGCCCAATTTCCAGCAAAATCGTGTATCTCCATCGGGTTTCATACGGGAGATAGGCGGTTATTGCACCATGGGAACGTCCGATCTCAACGGGGGCCGTCAAGACAGCGCGGCCGATGACGGGATGATGGAAGGCAGCCCGACACCTGGGTTTCTCTCTCGAGTTGGAGCTGGCGATGATAGGTCGACACTCGACAAATCACTCCACATACGTTTACGTCCGCGCCTGCCTGGCACCCAATCGCCTCACCTCGGCAACGTCTTAAAGTGGAAACTTACCTAATGTTTTCGTAATCAAAATTATTCATTTTCACTGTAAAAATTGAAGTTATTATTTGAGGGATTCAAACTAACATTCAGGGGCGGACTGGTAATCGAAAAGTTAGGAGGCGACCTAGATTTGGGGGTCTCTCTAAGGAGGTGCGGGGGCCCTCCCCCGGAAAATTTCACACTGTTTAAACCCAATTTTAAGCGTTATTGGAGTCAAATTCTACAGTATTTGAACTCAATAATAACCAATCCTCAGGATTCTTCGGGGGCCCCTTCATCACATAAGCATTTCGCAATTTTTCATGTCTCTTAGAGACAGATTTTCAAGGATTTTGGGGCCTTTTAGTGACTGAAAAGGATGAAAAAATCACAACATTACGGGGAGAAACCATAACTCGAAAAAAATTCGCCGCGGGGGCCTTCGAGACCTCCGCGGCAAATTGTTCGGAGGCGATCGCCTTCCCGCTCCCATGGTCAGTCCGCCCCTGCTAACAATGCGTATCATGGTAGTGCATTTCTTTTTTGCCCAATGTAAATACAGACGCGGGTCAAAAAATACCCCGGGTATTTACCTAATCTTCTTCTTAATAATTTACTCATCAACTCATTTATTTATTTATTTATAATTCATGTACATAAATGCCACACGTTGTGGCTATAATACTTGTCAACCCAGCCCCCCTAAATATTACACATTAATTTCATATAGGTACGTAAGAACACAGGGAAGCATTAAGAATATTACAAAATTTTACAAAATACAATAAAAGGTATAGTAAATTACAGTTAAATATTATTAAAAAAATCATGTAAGGAATAAAAAGCCTTGCCAACTAGTAAGGCTTTTAGACCAGCCATAAACTCTCTTACTTCCCATTTCAGAAGAGCTTTTCTCAGGTTCAAGGGAAGGTTGTTGAACAGTCTGATGGCAGTATGAGACACAGACTGCTCAGCAACCTTCAGGCGAACAATTTCATAATTGATGAAAGGGTTTCTCATGTTCTTTATCATGTCCTTACGAATTAGGCCGGTGTCAATGGCAAATTTTAGGCTGTCTAGAATAAAAATAGATGGAAGAGTTAAAAGTTGGTACTTTATGAATAAGGGTTTACAGTGGGAATTAAATGGTTTGTTAAATATCAGTCTTGGACATTTTTTCCCCTTTTTTAATTTACACTTCGATGATAGTGGCGCCTTCCTGAGTCCGCGCGAGTCTCTTTAAACTCTTCCATGACGATTTGCGCCTCTCTCTCTAACTTCAGAGCCTCCACGTCGAGTTTCGTCATCTCCTCCACATTGTCATACCGGCGTTGAAGGCTTCTTCCTCCTCTCGATTGAGGTTTCAGTACACGTTCTTTCCCCGCTGACTGTCGTCGTCCTGACATCTTTCGGGTCGCGTAGCGGTCAGGGGGCAGGCTAGTAAGAAATAACTTTGAATGATACTTACCACGCTCGTGGTGCGGGCAGAACCACGGTGATATTAGAGGTGTCTCCTCCAACCCCAACGATTCGAGAAAGAAGTAATCGGTGGCGCCCTTGACATTCCCCAAGCCGCAGCCGTTGGGCCATTCACAGAAGATGGTGTTCCGAAGCAGTGTTTCGGCTGAAACAAATAATTATTCTTTCTTTTATTATCTTTCGCTGGGGAAGAAATCTGCGGGTGGCAGTGACGTAACAAGTGATTGTAACGCGGGTGGAGCTTGCTGATGGTGAGGGCTGAACATATAATTCCACTGCTCCGGGTCCATGTGGAATCGTACCCATAGGTATCGGGGATCGTGGTGCGGGCAGAACCACGGTGATATTAGAGGTGTCTCCTCCAACCCCAACGATTCAATAAAAAAGAAGTCGGTGGCGCCCATGACATTCCCTCTATTGCAGCCGTGGGGCCATTCGCAATGAATGGTATTCCGAAGTGTTTCGGCTGTAACAAATAATTATTATTTCTTTTATTATCTTTCGCTGGGGAAGAAATCGGCGGGTGGCAGCGACGTAACAAGTGGTTGTAACGCGGGTGGAGCTTGTTGGTGAGAGATGAACATATAATTCCACTGCTCCGGGTCCATGTGGAATCGTACCCATAGGTATCGGGGATCGTGGTGCGGGCAGAACCACGGTGATATTAGAGGTATCTCCTCCAACCCCAACGATTCAATAAAAAAGAAGTCGGTGGCGCCCATGACATTCCCTCTATTGCAGCCGTGGGGCCATTCGCAATGAATGGTATTCCGAAGTGTTTCGGCTGTAACAAATAATTATTATTTCTTTTATTATCTTTCGCTGGGGAAGAAATCGGCGGGTGGCAGCGACGTAACAAGTGGTTGTAACGCGGGTGGAGCTTGTTGGTGAGAGCTGAACATATAATTCCACTGCTCCGGGTCCATGTGGAATCGTACCCATAGGTATCGGGGAGAGTGATTAAGCTATCCATTTTTTGCCACAACTCCGCTCCTGATTAAGTAATGGATTGTTGTTTGAGCATTCGGAGGATGTTTAAGCTGATATTTCGTTCACATGCGGACGCCATCATCCTGCACTCAAAGGTAAGGATCGAGAAGACACGGGGATCTATCTTTAATTCTCTGTCCTTAGCCATAAGCTGGATGACGGCCCACATTAAGGCAATGAGAAACGACTTAATCAGCCAAAATACACATGATAAAAGAACAAATTAATCTTGGGCAAATAAAGAACAAAGAATAAACAAAACCCGGAACGTTTCAAAATGGTTACAATTTCATTTTCAACCGGAAAATAACTTTAAAATCAAACGAGCCGTCGCTACGCTGTTATTGCGAGACCGAGACTGATTACCAGGTAAACAGACTCGGCACAGTGCAGCAAAATCAAAGCACACAATACAAAGATTACAAAAAGAATGGAAATTTAATCACCAGCTCCCTCCGGGAGGAAAAACTGGTGATAAGAGGCACAGAGACCATCAACATCAGCGCGGTAATTACCAAGTTTGTTCCTGCGCCTCAAGATAGGCCTGCGCAGTACAGGTAATCTTCCAGTGCGCTTGCCCTCTTTGTAAAAATCTTGAATCTTGATCTCCGGACCGGATAGTATCTCCAATATTAATCTAGTCTGTTGCAACAGACTAGGTTTCGACTCTCAAAGCATCTTCTGCGAACGCTACTTGATAAATATGGTCCCAATCTGGTGTAATGGCTTTGTCATCCAATAAATCAGAGATCTGAGGGCAGTAGTCAAAATTGAAACACTTCTTGAAGATCAGTTTGTCCCCGGCACTGTTAGGGATCTTGTTACACTCTCGGATGGAGCCAGGATTCCCCCGGTTTACTTGTCTTCTGATTTCTGGGTCAACATTTACATACTTGAACGTGGGTGGCAACTCCTTGTGTTCATCATAATACGGAACTATGAACTTTCGTTCCAAGTTACTTGCTACATCAGAGTCA